TGTAAAGAACACATGTACACCGTTATGTAACACATGTATACCTAGCAGTAATGCTAGGAGACAATTTTTGATGAGAGATGGAAAATCCACACAGCTTGCTAAACTACAGTTTAGCCATGGTTTGTTGCATTACCAATGAATAATATCCAGGCTATCAAACAAACCACAGGTTGTTTTTCCCATTTCTCGGCTATTTCTCCCCTGGCCCTTCTGTCGGTATCTTGCTTCTGGGTAAGAATCTGGGAAAACAAGGTAGGATTATTTATAATTCTAGATTACTATGTAATGAAAAGTTTGTATGCCAGTAACAAACTATGGCTTATTATTGTCACGTGAGGTTGACAAACAAACCATGATTTGGATGTGAGCTTTGGGCACAACAAAAAGGTAGAACTCGGTAATCTGAAATTTAGCTGGCTGTGAAATGCAAACCCAGCAATTACATACAAGAGGGTTGAATTATGCTTGGATGTTGTTCATAAACCATCCCTCCATAGCTATGTTTTCTTCTCAATTCCCACAGATGGCAAGATCCACCATCAGGCTAGACGTGGCTGCGGAACCAAGTTCGCATGTATGAACAAGCCACAGATTTTTGGTGTTCCTGGAATGTATATGGAAATTGTGAAGACTGCTCAGTGTACTCCTGCTCCCAAATTATTGATGAAACCGAAGTAGCTAGTCCTCAGTAAGCAATCCCTTTGTGGCCACACTGCAAAGAGCTAGGGAAGCATCTTTTGAGCTGCCAGAACATATTCAGAGGGATCTTTCTGACCAGGGAATGTGCATTGATTTAGAAGGTGGGATAAGTTGACCACTTACATTTGTGATAAAAAAAAATCATGTTGAATAAATCATGTCATGAGTGAAAATGTATTGATTTAAAAAATTCTGACATATTCCTAAACCATTGGACCTTTTGCATAGTAATTAATCTGTATTTTGGAAGACATGATAAACACGTATTCCTTTGCAAGCCCACGTTTCCTGTGGTCTTTTCATTTCATTGATGCCCTCTTACTTTGGTGTTGGTGGTTTTTCCAGCTTTCAAAATGGAGCCTAAACTTGCAGTGGGATGAGATTCAAGTACCCTCTTTCCCCAAAAATAAACCCTACCCTGAAAATAATCCCTAATATGTTTTTCACGATGCTTGAAATATAAGGCATCCGCTAAAATAAGCCCCACTTAAGTGAAACTCCACCCTCCACTATTGTGCAGCTTTGTGAAGCAACCCGAAGAAGATGACATGAGTGTATTTGAAGAAATGTAGATTGCTGTACATTTAAAAAAATTAAAACATCCCCTGAAAATAATGTTTTTGGGAGCAAAAATTAATATAAGACCCTGTCTTATTTATTGGGAAACACAGTAAAAGAAACAGTCACTAGGGATGGATTTTTGTTTTTGAAATTTTGGACTACAAATCTCATAATTCTCTATTCTGGAAGTACTTCCTGACAGACAGAGACCTAAATGTGGCTCGCCTGAGGGAAAGGTCTCAGCTGGAAGGCTTTGAAGCCTAACTAGACCTAGTTCCACTCAAGCTTCTTGTTCCTACCCAAATGCTAGCTAGGAACTACATTTTTGAACTGAAAGTTGGAGCTAGGCTAGGCCTAGCTAGGCCTCAAAGTCTTCCGGTTTCTTCCAGATGAGCCACATTTTGGTGTCTGTCAGGAAGGGTTCCCAAAATGGAGAATTTTGAGATCTTCAGTCCATAAAATCCCAACCTTGCCAGTCATGTACCAGCTGAACATCACTGACAGACAAAAGTCCAGTCTAATGAACTGTTCACTCCGTAAGGATTAGTAATCAGAGCACGGAGCAGAAAACTATAATCAGGTTCAGAGATAATCAGACAAGTCCTTTTATCTTGTTGTAGAATATTGTCTACAACAGGATAAAAAGATGATGAGATGGTTGGACAGGGTCATCGAAGCTACCAACATGAAATTAACCCAACTTTGGGAGGCAGTGGAGGACAAGAGGGCCTGGCGTGCCCTGGTCCTTGGGGTCACGAAGAGTCGGACATGACTTAACGACTCAACAACAACAGACAATTGTAGGTCTTTTCCTTATCATCATGGTTTGTGTTGTATCTTCTCACATTTTGCTTCCAAACCAACTGGTCCCTCACCCTTGCTTCCGTTTGAACTGTGTCCAGCATCGCAAACACTGGAAGGGATGTCTGATTCCAAAAGAATGAAGCCACGCACCCATCATTGACCTCATAATGGTCATAAAGGAAAATTCACCCACTGTTGCCCTACAACTTTCCATGACTTATATTTAAAGCAAAACTGGAAAACAGCCCCTGTTCTTTCTAACTATCTCACTATGTTCATGTGCGTTTGTTTTGTTGGCTTGGAAAATCACCACTTCCTTGTGGAATTTCAGGAATGTTATACTGGGAGGACCTTGTGACTATGAGAAACCATTCAGTGGATTTGTCTTGTCTCAATATACGAGCTGGGAGGAAGGCGAAAACCCCATCCAGTTTCCCCAGTTTTCCATCTTCAAGGAAACGAAGCAAGGGGCAACCTCAAGCACCCCCTTTCCTTTTTGTTCTGCACCCCTGACTTGAAAAGAGACTTCCATGATTTCCAGTCCCAGAAGCTGTGGCTTCAGCATACCACACCAACCATGTTTGCAAACCATGTAATGCACAGGGACCTTAAGCTGCATTGTCAGGTTTCAGAAAAGTGCAGGAACTACACTGCACTTTTAAAGTTCCTCTTCCTTCTGCCTGGGCTGGAGTATCTGAGGCTGTCCGCTGGCACAACCATTATTTTTCCCTAAGCACTTTCTTAAAATTCATTTAGTAACAGTGCATGGGATAAGCTGAAATACATTGAGAATAAATCTAGTTAGGATCAAACAAAACATTAAGGGGGAATTGTATCCTCTAACATTAACCTGATTACCCTCTCAAGATTTGATTTACTCAAAGAGGTGTGTCTTGGAAATCCAAGCCTGAATTTTTCTCTAACCACCATCATCATGTTCATTAAGTCAGCTCTGAGTTATGGTGATCTTTTGTAGAGTTTTCTATGTAGAAAATAGTCAGAAGTAGTTTACAATTCCCTTCTTCTGGGGCTATCTTGGGACTGTGCAGCTTACCTGAGGCCACATTTCCCTGGGAGACGCAGTGGGGAATAGCCAATCACGAAAGAAGAATGCTAAGTGCTAAACTAATCGGTGAGAAAAATCACACGCTGTGTCCACTTGAGGGAGCACTGTTTCTAAAAAAGAGCTAAATGTGCCACTTAGCTGGCTTCTGCAATTTTTTTTT